AGACTGACAGAAGCGAGGCTGCCATATCGCGCCATCGGCCCTTCTGGCCAACACCAGTAGGCGGTAGGTGAAGGGTCTTGCCCAAGGACACAACGACCGAGACTGTCCGAGCCGGGGCTCGAACCGGCAACCTTCCGATTACAAGGCGAACTCCCAACTCTTGAGCCACGATCGCCCCCTATCACCTATGGTGTTGCAGCCCTATGATTTTGAGCTGAGCTACACGACTGGGAAATATATCGTACTCGCGGATGCATTATCCAGAGCGCCAGCACCAAGTGGTGACAGGTTAGTCAGCACTACAGCCGAGGAGGCTGAAACACATGTAAACATGGTAAGTGCTTCACTCCCAGCATCAGATGTCATGTTGCAGCAAATTGTACAGGAGACGACAAAAGATCCAGTGCTGCAGAAAGTACAGCAGATTTGCACCATGGCAAAAGGTAGGCACGGATTTATTTCATCTGGATGGCAAGGACTATGTTTTGGTGATTGACTGCTATTCTAATCATCCAGAAGTGGCACAGCTTTCCAGTACATCAGCACAGTCAGTCATCACACACGTGAAGGGCTTTTTTGCCAGACATGGAATTCCACAGTGTGTCATCAGTGACAATGGTCCACAATATGACTGTAGAGAATTTAGTGACTTTGCAAAGCAATATGGCTTTCAACATATCACCTATAGTCCCTTGTAACCCCAAGTGAATGGACAGACAGAAAAAGGGATCCAAATAGTAAAGAGACTGTTCAAAAAAGCAAGAGACAGTAAGACTGGCCCTTACCTGGCTCTGCTAAGCTACAGAGCTTCATCTCTGGAGTGCGGGGATCACCTGCTGAGCTACTCATGCATCGCAAGCTACGCACCACACTTCCACACATTTCCAAGGAAAATGACCATGCACATGACAACAAGCTGGCTGGCAAAAGGATGAAACTCAAGCACAGACAGAAAAGGAACTACGACAAAACTGCAAGGCGTCTGGAACCGCTTCAGGAAAGAGACGTTGTGAGGATTGCAGGTCTAGATTTCTGGGACAAAAAAGCAACAGTTCTCAGCGAAGTAGGACCCAGATCGTTTGCTGTTCAGACCAAGAATGGACAACTGTTAAGAAGGAACCGGAGAAGTCTGTTAAAGACACAGGATGTTAAACATCAGGACACAGAGACTGGAACTGAACAACGAGGTGCTAACCCTGTTGAGCACCACAGTGAGCCTCCTTCACCTTCCCCAATGTCTGAGATACTGAGAAGGTCTACCAGACCTAAGAAACCTACAGAGAGGCTCATAGAACAAGTGTGAACTGTTGTGGTAAAGAATTGTTAAAAAAAAAAAAATCACAAGTAAATAAAGGATAATAATTCATTTAGAATAGTAATTGTTCACACTTACTTGAGACCTGCTGAGTTCTAATGTGCTTGAGGGCTGTATGGGACTCATGTGGTTCATTCTGGAAAATGTAAGGTATACATTTGGATTTATTTTGTTTGACTTGTGCTACAACCTTTGGTTATATAAAAAAAAACACTACTGAATGTAGTTTGTTGCACAATTTATAAACTGTTGAATGTTAGACAAGAATGTTCAGATGTTACAGAGTAACAGTTCTCTTCGGAATTGTGGTTTTTATAACACCAACCTGTTTGGAAAGGGGATGTAATGATAGCTGCTATTGTTGAAGCTACCCACAGGGGGCGCTGTGGAATCAATAAGATACAGAATAGAAGAAGAAAGTGATCGCTGGTAGAAAAACAATAAACAGCTAGCTGAAGCTAGCACAAGGAGAAATTCTTGATGTTTTATTCATAGAGGAATAAGAACATTACAACAACCATCTCTAAGGTTTACAGAGAACAGTTTGAAAATGAAAAAATGTTCAGTGACCAGCAGTTTAGGACGGCCAGACAGCTTTGAACTGATGGGACGGCAACAGTAACTCAAATAACAACTTGTTCCAATCAAGGTATGCAGAAGAGCATCTCTGAATTCACAACACATGAAGCAGCTGGGGTTCAGCAGCAGAAGACCACACTGGGTGCCACTCCTGTAGGCTAAGAAAAGGAAGCGGCTTCATGTCCCAAAGCTCATATCAACTCAGTCTGGCTTCTTTAAATGCCCTCTACAGTTACCAGATATCAATCCAGTAGAACACCTTTAGGATGTGGTGTTCATCATGGATGTGCAGCAGACAGTTTGTGTGCTGAGCATCCTGGGAACTCTATGACAGAAAGAAGTCAAAAGACAGAGTCCAACATGACGTGGACCTTACATACCAGCTAATTTTGTTAGGGTTTCTGCTTTGTTCACATCATCTTCTATTATTCAAAGTCAAAGTAAACTTTACTGTCTGCTATACAGCACAGTATATAGAGAGACGAGACAACGAGGCTCCAGTTCCATTAAGTGTAAAATCTAGGAAGAGTAAGAATGAATATACACTTTAAGACTGAGGTAAGGGGAGTAAATATACACTTTGAGGTAAACAAGAGTTAATAACAATCAAAAATGTACAATTGAGATGTAAAGTGACCTTGGGGGGGTGGGGGGTCTGATGGCTTGCGGGAAAAAGCTATCTCACAGTCTGAAGGATCGGGCCCCAATACTGAGGAGGCCTTACTGATGCAATTATATGATGCGTTTCAAGTTGCTTTTTCAAACAAAGCCAGAGAGCACAGCTGTTATCAAATATGGTTAAGACTCTAACTATAAGTTAATTTAAAAGAGAAGATTTCCAGGGATTTCATCAGTACTGCTCATTGCACTCTTACTTAGCTGAAAGCCGTCTCAATAAGCGTGGATTATGCCTCCGTTACTGCGATGGCATGTGTGAGATATTCGGTTATATTGCTAATTACATTTAATCAAGAGACAGAGGAGCTCCAGCTACTGTGTAACTACAGTTTAGCCACTTAAATGTACAAATAGAATAGAAATAGAAAAAAGATTCGACACATTGCTGGATGCACAAACATTTATTGTAGCAGAATCAGAAAAAACAAAGTGTAACTCAAGCACAGTGGGCGTACTCGTAGGTACGGATTCACACAGTTCAGCTGATGGTGTTCAAATAATAACATGCATTCAAATTAATAAATCAGGATCTTTACAGGTTATTTCCAAACTGGTGACATCTAACAGATTGCTGATACATTTTTCATGCTCCTCGGTTTCATCACTGTGGTGAGCTTTTGGTCGCGCTGTTATCACTGTGAGACGAGGCATCTGGCTCCCATCTGTGCTCTGATGTCCTTCTGCAACAGAAAACAGATTTTAGACAGTAAGCAAAAATGGCACAGCTCCTCATTTGTTCACAAAAATTAATCAACTGCCACACACACAAACACAGACCAATGCTAACACACCAGGATTAACATAAAAAGACTCAGACGATTACAGTGAACCCTCAGTTGTCCTAATCAGACATGTTTCGTTTGCTTACACATTTTTAGGCTTGCTCGTTTCTTTCTGTGTTTTCCACACGGAAACTGGTAGATGTAAATGGAAGTGGAACAGCCCGACGAGAGACTGTATACTTTTAACGAAACAGAAGAAAGGACACATCAGTGAATGATTAGCTACAGTGAATGAAGGTTTACAATCGTATGTAGTCAATATTTCCTGTCAAACCTTTGGAAGTTTGATGGTCACATCAATGCTGTCGGATGAGGCACATACAATTGATGCAGAAACCTCCTGGTTGGCATTGCTCTCACATGTCTGGTTGAAGCCGGAAAGCAAAGCCATGCCTGGGATGTATCTTTCCATTCTGGAATGGATAAAATCCATTAACACAAAAAACATTTCAAGGAAGTTGGTTGAGAAGGTGATAAGAATTTTAAATCTTCTCTCCTCATGATAAACATTTAACTTGTCACAGCTTTTATTTCTTGGTAGAAGTTGGACATTTTATAGAAACTCACCTGGAGCAGTAATTCACCAACTCTTCTGGCACACTGGCCCACTGTACTTTGGCTTCAAGTGTCGGCTTGGGAGCAGAGGACTGTGCAGCAGCCATCACCGATATTTTGTAGGGCTTACATTGAGCTCCCCAACTAATCATTGCCTAGAACAAACACAGTCAACGTTGAAGCACCACTCCACAAACAAACACATGGCTTTAGCGCTTTCTTTTAAAAATATGACACATTTAAAAAGAAGGAAAAGTATGTTATTAAAAAATAAGGACATCATTATCTGCTCCAAGATTTTTACATGTTCAGCAGCTTAAAGGTCTTCTACTTTTTAATGCCAAACTGTTGTAATATTACTCTTTAAAACGTTTCCAAGTAGCATGCCATTGCTTATTAACTACTCTTTTTTTATTGTCTAGAGAGCAGAAATATGGGAACATAATGACACCAGCCTTTTTTTTTAAATGTTGCTAAGGAATATTTTCCCCAGTGATTTAAGGAGGCCGTGGACATGAATAAAAAACATGGCAAACCTTAGTTACTGAGACAGTGATTGCGACCAGGACACATTAACGGCTGATGCCATGCCATTAAACGAAGTCCTTGCAGTTTACACATCAAATTAAACATAAATCACTAAGAAAGTCTTGCTTTCATAGGTTTTCTACCTTAACATTTGCAGGAGACTGTGCAGAAGCGTCGACACACATCTTCCAGTTGGCGGCGTCTCCGACATGGGACACGATCATTTGGGCCTTCAGAGTGTCTCCTACAGATGGGTTGTACAGGGTCACATCGAAACCCTCAAGGTTCTGGTTACCACTCATGGCAATGGCTTTGATGCTGACCACAGGCTGAGGTGTGGCCTAAGATATGAGACAGAAAACAACCCTGTACTTACTTTATATTAATCATCTTTTGTCTTAAATTTATAGTAATACCAAAGTGGGTGTGGGTGTGGGTATTGTAGATGGATGAAATAAAGCTGAGGGAAGTGTTTTTTGCAAAATCAATATATACATATCTGTCACATTTATTATTTTTAGTGCATGTCAGATTAAAAATGCAGAGTACTCTGTATTTGGTCTATTTAACGTACATCCATCATGATTTCTTGGCTGTTACTGGCTTCTCGTTCATTTGATGCGGAATTTGATCGTTCCTGTAAACACAACATGGGAACAGGAAATTTTTAAATGATAAAAGACAGGAAGAGGTGATGCACATGTAACGTTACAGAAGTCTTCAAATACCTCTGCAATCGTCCTCATAGTCTCATACAGATGGCGGATGGTCAATGGATGACTGGCGGGTTTGCCATTAATCTCGAAGCGGATTTTCTCCACAGGTTTGGTCGCCTCAGCTAAAAAAGTGCATCAGGTTACATGAGCACAGGATACCTTTATAACCTAACACAGGCCTTCTTGTTGGTTATATGTGTGAAAAAGACATTTAAAAGTAGTAGTGTGTCTCATGTGAGCTCGACATAAAGGTGATCTGTGCATATGGTGCACTGAACTTGCTGCGTATACCTGGGACTACTCTGATGGCCGCATGGGTGAATCCCATTATAGAGTAGAGGGGGTATTCGCTGTTATAATACTGTGTCCTGATTTCATAGTCCACACAGACACCCACTCCATACATGCTGCTCTTGGCACACATATTTGCCTTTGGACACCAGTTGTTTGGTGTTGGCTTCTGTTTGAAGGAAAAACAAAAATCAAGAAGAAGAAGAAGTTGTTGCCAGTTTTCAATAAATTAACGTGTAACAGTAATCTTCCAAAGGTGTTGGCTGTACCTGTTGGGGGTTAAATTCATCAGGTATCATTGGTGTCCTTTTAGGAGATTGTAGATTTGCAATGTTCCTTGAGACTGCAAACAGATTGGAGCTGTAAAATAGAAATGTCGGATTTATTTAGTACATTCAGCTTCTTGATGAATCTGAATGAATGAAAAGCACTCATTCTTGTGTTTTAGTTCCTGTGAGTTCCAGTTTAAGCTGGAGTGACCAGTTTATATAAAGTAAAAGGAATCACACTGCAGTGACTAAAGTAAAGAAAAAATGAGAGTGGTTGGTAATTGATCTAGTAAATGTATTTAGACCGGTAGAGGGACATAATCATGATCTTGACATACCTGAATGAAATGAGTTCAAACTCATTTTTACAAGCGGGGATGTCAAGTTCGAACACTCGGTTTCCAACATTGAGCTTGGCAGAAAACTTCCATGGCAGCTCAACGGGAGCTTTGCTCTTCATCTCTGTACCGCACTGGAAAAGCTCTGTGTTGATCCCGTGGAAAAACCAGAAATCTTTTGTGAATCTACAATAAAAAGTGTAACAATAGAGTTAGGGTTTGCACCCCCAAAACAAATTGTTTGTCGCATATACTGATGATAGTTGCCAAATACACTGGGTATCTATCTATTGAAATTACCCGACGACACCCTCAGATTCCAGTGAAATATCTGCATTCATCAGGTCTACGAGATGCTGAGCTTGTGGTGGATTTATTGCAGCTTTAGCTATAGACACACATAAGGAAGCACACATGTTTAGCCCAAGTACATTTTTCAATAATAAACAAATGTGATTGCCATTTGTTATAAGGTTTTATTCCTCACCGTTAATGGTGATCCCGGTGAGTGTTTGATAATATTTGGCAATCTCCACTGGCAAACCCAGGGTGGTAGCTTGCAACAAACGAACCTCAATAGTCAACAAAGGCTTCGTCCAATGCCATGAAAGTCCTCTTTCCAATTGCTCAATGGCAGCCCACACAGGGGTTCCTTTAGGTGCAGAAGGACTAACAGCCTACATGCAAAATCACAGGACAGCATCTTGTAAGAGGCGTCAAGGCATCATGTGTCTTTAATAGATCAGCAATGTCTCTGCCCATTTATTCTCACCGCTTTGATGTACTCAAGGAGATCCTTCTTGATGTTTACAAAGAAAAGCTCTTGTCCAGACATGCGTGAATAGGCAGAAATGATCGGCTTATCATTTGGCAGCGATTCCCAGTTTTTAAGCTGAAAATGACACGACACAGTGGACACAGTGGACACCCACATCAATTGGCATCATAGTACAGCTGATATTTTTCCCTTGACGTCTTTGATGTAATACTCACGACATTGTAAATGGCCTGAAAGTCGCTGAAGCTAAAATCGCCTTTAAATCCAGGAATGCTGGGGCCAAACAGCTGCTTGATTGTTTCGGCACGGATACCAAACTGGAATCAAAAGAAATAACAGGATTACAGTTTGTGTTTGGGAAAGGTCATTTGAAGAATATTATATGACGCTGTACCTCCATTAGCCTCTTAATTCTACCGATGGAAAAATACTTAGTTTGGGTTATGATCTCAGTGGGCAAGACGCTTGTTGGACCTCCCAACAAATTAAATGAAGCAGATGCCCCCATCAGGAAATCATCTGCATTTGGAAAAGCAAAAATGGTCATTTTTATATGTGAGTGTGAATGTGTTTATTTAAAGTCCTCAAAAGTGGTCTAATTATTGGTGAACTTGAACCCACCATCAAACATGTCCATTTGGAATGATCTGCTGTTGTAGCTAAGACGTCCAAATTTGGCAGCGAGGCTTTTCACAGCCAGACTGCAGTAAGTTGACCTTTAGCAGAAAACACAAAATCAATTAGATATCATGTAAAATATACCAGCGAAAGCAACACCAACACCTTTTTAATTGTTATACTCACATAATGTGATTGTCTGGAGTCTTGGATCTAGCTATATTTTCCAAGTAAGAGTATGCAAAGCTAGCGAGATGGATGTCTTTTTGTCTCTCTAGATGTGCAGTCAGTGTGGAGACAAGAGCCGCTGATGGCTTTGTGTTAAACATGACCATGATTGCCATCATGCTTGTCTCAGGGGCACAGTTCTTTTGCAGGAACACTTTCATGGCAATCTCTTGGACCTGAAAACATAAGCAATATAATAATCAGCTTTTGGGGAAACCATGGTCAAAGCTCACACATTTGCCAGCTACTGTTAGGACAAAAACTATTATGTTCTGGCACAGTTTCAGTGAACCCTGAAAGACAACTGAAGACACTTTCTACTTGATTTTACCGGTCTAAGTAAAGAGACTTCACTACTTCACTTGACCTAAAAATGTGGCATTTTAAACGCAAGTTATCTGCATATATTAAAAAACAACAACAACAACTGCATGTCATGTAATGTTCTTACATTGTGGGGATCTCTGCGAGCTGTCAGTCTCAAAGCCTGCATAGCAGCGCTCTGCACACGGCACGACACGTCTACGGGGTTGGCAGCGACTCCAGGGAGGAAGTTGATGATGGTTTTAATGCTGCCTGGATGACCTGCATTGCCCAGAGCTCTCAGAGCGATGAACATCTTAGTTTCATTGCGGTTTCTCAGGCCCTCATTGGCAAGGTCGAGCAGTGGCTAGTTAAAACGACAAATACATGTTTAGCCTTTTTTTCAAAAATGCTTGTTGACTTGCTTTATCATTTTACACATGGATGATCTCGGCTGTAATCTCAGATCTTTTCTAATTATTATGGTTAATTTGGGGGAAAATAGTACTTGAAGTAGTATAATCAATATTAAGCTCAAAATGATTTTTTCTAGTTAAATTTGAAATATTACTTAAATAGTTATCTCAAAACCTTAACACTCCATTGCACAGATAATTTCTCATTACATAGCATACACCTGTTGGTGTATGAATACCTGAACAGCAGCTTGTGGACATGGTGAATGATATGCGCAGTGTTTGTACACCAGAGAGCCAAAAGAAAACACGGCAAGAGGCCACAAACGAGGATGGGACTTGATGAATTCCATGTTCATTATTTCCTGCGAAAGATCGACATGTCATTTAGGTGATCGTTTTGTTGTTTTTGTTTGTTACGTAGTATCACCGTCCAGGTTTGCTAACTCACTTTAGCCTTCTCAACCAGCTCAGGTCTGGGCTGGAGATGATTCATAGCAATCAGAAGGGTTTGCGCAGCTTCATTTGCAGTCACGTCTTTTGCCTGAAATCTCTTTTGCAGGAATTTGAGGACTCTGTCGTCGTTGATCTCGGCAACCATGTCCAAGAAAAAGCGTCTAATAAGTAAAAAAGAAGAGAGAAGAGAGCTAATTATACAAATACTCCAGATAAAGATTATCCTTCAAATAAACAGATGAAGGGAAGGTGTGTACCACAATGTTACAAAAGATATTCATAAGGTTTTAATTAAAAGCAGGATTTAAGTTGTTACATTTCTGCCTCGCATAATATTAAACTATTCCTCATTGTTAATGCGCTGCACTAAATCCCTACTGGGCTGAGTCGAAGGATAATCAGCTGAAGGGGATCAGCATCAGACTTCAAAGCAGCCTCGAAAAATGTTCTTCTTCATAATGAAAAGCTTTTTTAAAGGTTATCCATAAAAGAGTCTCACTTTGAGTTTTAAAAAACGTGTTCTCGCCGGGTACAAAGATGTTCACAAAAAGTTAACTAATAACTTAATAATGATACTTTTATTGCAGCTTTACTCATAAAGTTTGTCGTAAATCCCGTGTTAGAGGCTGTATTTACAACACCATCAACCGCATTCATTCAAATGAGCATACTCGACGAATATTAGTGGCTTTAAGCATGAAAATGTAGCAAGTTTTACACATGTGTCTGTGAGTGCAGATGAATTTCCATTAAATTTTAAACTCCAATTAAATAGGTATAGCAGTAGTATAACTAAGTAGTATTTAGTTGAATCACAATTGTATTACACAGTGCATTCAGTGCATAACAAATGTGTTTGACCAGCACCCGACAGAGGGTTTATGTCTCATGTGCAAGCTCTTTATCAGACATTATTGTTATCCATGAATTTTGGACAAAAAAAGCAAAAAAAATTGCTACATTATTACTTTTTGTAATCACCTCACAAACACTCACCTGTGTTCATTGTTTTTTGACAGTTCCACCCACATCTCATCCAAATCCCTGTCCTGAAGCATTCGCAAAAGCTGATACACCTTTAAGGTGTTCTCAGTTGTTTCCTTCTTAATCCGGTTTTTATGATCCTCAGCCATCTGTTTGATCATTGTAAGAGCCTGCAAACAGGAGCAGTGTACAGATTTATAGGTTAAAAAAGAGATTTTCATCAGTCATTCTTTAACTATGAAGGATTTCACTCTTTTTGTTGTATTCTGGTGGAAATTTTGCTGCTACACCAGTTCATCCCTACCTTTGCTTTTGGTTGTGTGCGGTCCTGCATCACAAGAGGGATGTTAGCGTCGGAGTTCACTATTTTGTACACGAGGTCGCCCCTGTTTTGCAATTGCCCGACGTTGGGAGGTTTACCTCCCTCACTCACACGAATCAGTACCATTTCCTTCCTGCAGGAGAAGGTTTTTTTTTATTTGTTATGCAGTAGCTAAAGTTAATTAGCAGGTATAACATGCAGATGCCTTCTTGTCTTACTTTGCTTCCATTCTGAAACTACCGCGCTTCACATTGAAGGGGCTAAAGTGCTGTTGCTCGAGGCCATAAGCACTTTTGACCATGCCGCCCTCTTCTGTTGGTTGGATGGTGTAAAGGTATTGCATAGTGGAAATCATAGATTCTCCTCTCTAGATTGGAGCATATGCAAACAGAAACGGAGATGATTTAATTTAAAATCGCACAATCAGCTGCATTTACGACGAGACAAACAAACCTGTTTGGTCTCTTTGTCGAGGACAGCATGGGCGGTTCCCTTTTGCATTGCTGCTTTAATTCTGCAGTTGTCGATATCCACAACCTGAGTGATGTTCATGTTGTTTGTTTGCTTGTTAATTTCAGTAGCGTAGTTGCTCTGACACACTCCATGGATTCCAGCCTACACGCAGAATAAAACTCGTGTTATTGACATTCTTACTAATGATGTAGACTAAAAAAATCAGTAACTGATGACTTACCTCCTCCAGCTCATAGACTGTTGGTGAGGTCTTGACAGTTGCATGGAAGAAACTCAGCATCCCTCTCACAATGTTGACAGTGGTCTCAGTGACGTCAGGTGCTGCTTGGATTTGCCGAACATGGCCGTTGATGTGCTCAAACTTGAAAGGTTTGGCGAGCTGGGCAGCAAGACGCTGACTGAGCCTGGGGCGTTGAATGAAATCACATTTCCCCGAGATGCCATTGAGCTCTGCGAAGGTCACTTCTGAAACCTTGAAGCCCGAACAGAAAAAATTAATATTTTTCCGATTTGAGCAACAAAACACATCGAATAACGTGTGACCCTACAAAAGTGTGCAGACATTGTCATTTGTATGTAGTATTATTAGCTTACAAGTTCACAGTTTTGTAGTTATAACATTGTAAAGCAGAAGACAGAAAGATGCTGGAACATAGCCAGCGTCGCACAGCTGTAGGTGTGCAAACATCACTGAAATTAGAGTAGAAGCTGCTTTAATGTCTTAAAGAAATCATTTTGTGAGGGTGTTGAAGCCTCAGTAGTGTCTACTCATTTGACCTCTGAAGAATCTATAGTGATGATTACATAATGTTAATTCCGTGAATTTATAAATAAAGTTTCAAATTAGCTGTCCAACATTGTGTTGCTGTGTATGCAAGTTTATTTATATAGCACAATTCAACGGCAAGGTGATTCAAAGTGCTTTACAGAGACATTAAAAAACAAAAAGAAATAAAAAGCCTGATTTAAAATGAAAAAAAAACAACAACAGTAGATAAAATCAGTAGTTAAAATGTAAGTTTTGAAATTTTTGGATTTGGTGCTTTATTCAAATGCAGCTGAGAACAGGTGAGTCTTCAACCTGGATTTAAATAAACTGAGTGTTTCAGCTGATCTGAGGCTTTCTGGGAGTTTGTTCCAGATATATGGAGCATAAAAGCTGAATGCAGCTTCTCCGTGTCTGGTTCTGACTCTGGGAACTGATAAAAGACTGGATCCAGATGACCTGAGTGATCTGGAAGGTTCATACTGGGTCAGGAGGTCACTGATGTATTTTGGTCCTAAACCAGTCAGAGCTTTATAGACCAGCATCAGGACTTTAAAGTCTATCCTCTGATGGACAGGCAGCCAGTTAAAGACCTCAGAGCTGGACTGATGTGGTCCACTTTTTTGGTCTTAGTGAGGACTCGAGCAGCAGAG